AAAAGACATATATTTTTCTATCTTCAACATGATCATCAATTGAGTTGATAGATGAACTTTAGCTAGTAGATTACTATATATAGTTGAAATACCATATGTTCGAAAGCATCATCAATATATGAAAGAGACATGTTGCCATCACATCTAGTATATGAAAATTAGTATTGATGAAAATAACATTTTGTATATATACTTATTGATAATTAAGTTGAACATAATTGTATTTCCATAAGAATGAATAGTAAATATTGTTGTCTATTTTCTTTTTTGTAATAGTTCAATTGTACAAATGTAATTATGTCACTTTGTTTATAAGTAATAACAATATGTTTATAATACGATGTTCTTTTTCTGATACGTTACAAACAACAAAAAAAAAATGACCTTAGTGGATGAATAAGAATGAAAAAAAAAGGCACGGATAGAAACATAAAATATATAATCAAGTAATATAGATAAATTTGAATGTATGCAAAATAAAGGATAAGATTATGCATACAAATACGACATTTTATGGTAACGATTATATGTTTTTTTTTTCTTGCTCTTAATATGATATATAACGGCATATGTTATTTCTTTTGTATTATCCACTATTTTCATTGATTAAAAAAAAAAAATTCATGTATATATCTTAAATAATGTACTATTGTAAAACTAAATGATGTATTTATTAGTAAAAAAAAAAATTTAAATTGAATTCAATATTAATCTGAATGAATGAAAAATTTTCATATTTTTTTTGTTTTATTTTATGAATAATATTCATAATAATAATATACATATTCTTAATTTTCTTTCATGGTTTTTCTTTTTCAAATATAAGGACAAAAATATTTATATTTATTTTAGTAGAATAATAACTAATGCGTAAAATCAACAGATCTTTTTTCTGTATTGCTATATTATTCTATTTCTATCTGATTTTCTTTTACGTACACTGTCACGTTAACAGAGAGATGTGCAAAAGACAAGAACTGAAAGATATGAATGAGCTAAACTTAGGCTATAATCGACATCGATATATGAAGAGAAAAAAAAACCGCCTACACCCTCTCTTCTCTGTACATATTGGTATCCTCAAAGAAAAGATATATATATATATATAGTTTTTTTTTTCTTCTTTGCTAGCTTATCTCACTATTCTGTACTTGTAATACAAAAATGTTCTATGTATAATAAAAGAGAAGAAAAAGTTCCTTCTTTCTCTCTTAGATGACTGGTTGATTCTTCTGTTTTTGTGATTTTTGTATTGCTAGTGTCTACTTATCATCTAGTTTTTTTTTTTTTTGTTGTCCTCATATTCATATCATTTATCGAACGACATAAATTTTTATTAAATGTTTCAAATATAATTTAAATTTAATTTTGAATGCCATTAACTATTATACCAATGAGTGATAATTCTATTATAATACCTGATATAAAACATCAACAATCCGATGATGATGATGATGATGATAATGGTAATGATAAAAATCTAATAAATTCAACTGAAAATGGTCATAAATTACTAAATACATCATTATCAAGAAATACAAAATTACTTTCACGTTCTCCATCACCATCACCTCGTTCAATATCATCAGGTCCACCTGATCGTTCATTAAATCAAAAATTTCATGTAGCTGCTTTAACAGGAAATTTAAATACTTTACAAGAACTTGTTAGTAAAGCGCGTATACCAATTGATTGTCGTGATAAAGAAAATTCAACAGCATTATTACTTTCATGTGCACGTGGACATTATTTATGTGTTGATTATCTTTTAAATAATGGTGCCGATCCAAATGCTCGACGTATAACAGGTGCAACACCACTTTATTTTGCTTCATTATATCATCATACACGTATTGTTGAACTTCTATTAAATAAATATAAAGCTATTGTTGATTTATCAACATTTGATGGTTCAACACCATTACATGTTGCATGTGAACGTGGTTTTACTGATATTGTTCAATTATTAATTAATTCACAAGCAAATATAAATGCAAAAATGAATGATGGTACAACAGCTATAATGCTTGCATGTCAAAATGGACATTTATCTGTTGTACAAATGCTTATAGCAACTGAACAATGTAATATAAATATACAACGTTTAGATGGTATAACACCATTATTTCTTATTATTCAAAATGGACATGAAACAATATTTGATTATATGATTGATAATATTGATAATATTAATAATATTAAAGAAACAATTGATTTAGCACGTGAAGATGGTGCAACACCATTATTTAAAGCATGTCAAAAAGGATATGAATCATTAGTTAAAAAATTGCTCAAATATAAACCAAAACTTGAATTACTTAAAAATGGAGAATCAGTATGTGTGAACAAAAAAACAAAAATTTATTTATTTTATTTTATTTTTTTGATTTTAGTGTTTACATGCTGCAACTATGTTTAATCATGCATCAATTGTTCAAATTTTAATTGATAATGGTGCTAATCCATTATTAAATAATTGGGAAGGTATGACAGCTGTTGATTTAGCTAAAGAAGCTCAATTAAAAGATATAATGGATATATTAATGAAAGCATTAGCACCAAAATTAAGTGAACATGCAAGACAATATTTATTACATAAAAGTACAAGACGAACTGATGCTGATTTTGATTTAGATTTAGTTGAACATGAAGAACGTGATGAATGGAAATTATATAAAAGTTTAAAATCAGCTGCTGAACTTGAACGTTTAGAAGAAGAAATTGAACAAACACCAGTTCTTCCTGATATATCAACAACAAAAGGAAAACAAACTGGTAGTAATCGACAAAAATCAATGAGACCACATCGATATCATACAACATCACAAAAATGATTTAAAAAACAAAAAATATTTAACGTTAATATCAATTAAACATTTTGTTTTAGAATAGAATTTCATTGCGAATTAACCAAGTAGTTTAATGCATTACTTCAATGAAGACTATCAATTAAAGAAATGAAATAATTATTCCATGTTCTTTGGAATCCTATTACTTTTTTTTAACTAGAAAAAAAAATAACAACAAAGTAAATACAATGACGCTCAAAATTTATTATATATTCAACAGATAATTTTATTATTTACTATATATTAAGTATAGAAGTAACGGAGAATTTTTTTTTTGGATTAATCGATTTCATCTGAAATTATCTATTAATAACATAGTTCACAAGAATCTATTCTTTACTCTCGACTGATCGTTCGTATTAAGTGTCTGAATATACCCTAATTGTTTCCATTTGATGATAAGATATATGACTCGGATTTATAGAAAAATCTAAAACAATAATAAGTTATTGGTCAATGACGGAGCTAGAATACCACTATTTTATTTGTCACCGCTTAGTTTTGATCACATGACGTACTCAGCGAGGGCATCATCTGCCACTGTTTCAGCATAACTAAAGGTTCGATAGGGTTTCGGGCTCTGTTGTCACTACTACTAATTTAATGTGACCATGTATACAATTCTTTTATTATTAGATTTACGTTAATTTCTATATAAAGTCAAAGGATATCATTTTTCATTTTGTTTTATCTAGCGAAAATGAAGTGATAATTGATGACAATAAATTATATTTTACTAAAAAAAAAAACCGTCGACTCTCTGTTAAAATAAAATCATCTATTGAATATATGATTAATTTTGCGCGTATTGTATATGATTTAGAAACAAAAAAAAAAAATATTTTATTCGCTTATTTATTGTATCAATAGCCTTGGAGTGATAATAAGATATTATTATTTAATATTAAAAAAAAAAAAGAAAAATTCTATTACATTTTATTATTTGATAAAATGCATGATATGTAACGAAATATAAATTATAACTATATATTTGAATTTATGAGAAAATATTTCTACTTGAATTTTGATCAATTCGAAAAAAAAAAATTCTTCTTAATGTTGAATCTAATATTTAAATTAATACATTAAAACTACATTTTCTTGTGAATTTTATTTATAGATAGAGTTTTATCGATTTTACAACAATACAGTGCAATAGCACATGTATATTAGAAATTTAAATAAATGATACTGAGAATCGACAAAGTAGAGTTTAGTCAATGTTGTTCCAAAAAAAGAAATGGCAAAAACACACATTTTAATTGATGAACAAATTTGATTGAATATAAGTTACTGTTGATGTGTTTTTCGAAATAATCTGAATTCATTATCTTCTATGTGTGTTCATGATAAGATAGACAATGTATTGCCACCGACCTTGTTCTATTACATATACGATTATATGAATTAGTAACTATACTATTCTTTAGACAAGTCTTGTTTTCGATTTTGAAGAAAAGCATTTGCAGTTAATTTGTTGTGAATTGAAGATTCAAATTGTACTGTTTTTTAAGAATATGGTCGCGCGAATTTGCAGAAAGTTGCTACACTATTTAGTTAACATGATAACGGCTATTCGCTATGTGTAGATAATTCATTAGATTTTTATTGCATTTTTTATTATTGATTGTGATCAAAATTGGAAAGTAATTTTTATAGAATATGCTGGGTTGACAAATTTCAATCTCTGATACACATCATTTTGACTACTTGTCAACTTGTGATTCATTCCGAGTAACGTATTCGGATATGTACGGCGACATTACAATGCTAATAGCTAGCAGCGATCTGAAATAAGTCGATTGTTTTTTATAATGATGTCATTAAACATTTTCTTGGACAATGACATAGAAAGATTCTATTGAATATAGTCGTTTAGTTCAATATATAATCTCTATGATTAACGAAATCTGTACTCTTACAGTTGGCAATAAATATCAAAGTATATGCTTCTTGAAAAGACTTTTGTCACCGAGAAAAGCTACACTTTTCATTCATTCTATCTCAATTATATATGGAATACTGATGAATCGTAAGATAAGATTCGAAAGATTTTTTAAATCTATTTCATTTTGAGGAAAAGAAAGAGAAAGTAGTGCAAATTTCAAGACTAATTTGTTTGAAATTAAAGTTATATTAGTTTATGTTTTCTTATTTGAATGAATGTGAGTATCGAGAACAATGATAATCATCAGTATTTCGACATCTGTTGCCGTCAGGACATTGTACTCTTTGATGATTACTCATTTCTGCAGGTTGGCGTCGTTGTACATCAGAGTGCGAATATTGTGAGCAGTGATCAGGATCACTTGTGTTATAGCACGCAGAACCAAAAGCGCACGGTGTTCGCGAACGATCTTGATCAGAAGACGAAGACTTTTGTCTATGTTCGGATGAATGAGAGTAGCGGGAACAATGTTGAGAATCAGTTTGATCACGACATTTTGATCCGTGGCGACAAGGTATTTGTTCATTATGATTTTCATGACGATTATGTTGCTGTTCACAATAATTTTCAGATGATAATGATGACGCTTGAGCAACCTTTCCTTTTTAATTGAAAAATAAAGCAAAAAAAAAGAAAATTAGTTTTGATTTTGCTTTTGATATGAAAGAAAACAACTCACGTGGTTTTTCGGCTGCTGCAATTCTTTCGATGTTTTCACCGTGCGAATATTTCATTCGATGCTCTCCTGTTTGATTACGACAAGCTTTTTGATCACGACATGGAACAAGAAAATCAGGAAGACCAGTGTGTCGATATGATGCTCGATGAACAGGGTCATCAAGACGCTTACACGATTTATCATGTACGCATGGTATCACTCGATGGGGTTCGTGTGTTAAATGTGGTTCTTTGTCTTGATTCCGACAAAGTTCAGCAAATCGACAGGGATGAGAATATCGCTTACAGTGATCGTTTGATGTTTGTTCAAGACAATTAATTGAATTAGGACATGGTCGTAGTTTTTCTTTATCAACAGCAAATAGACTACCGGCGAATTGCTTAATTTTCGAAAAAATCGGTTGTGATTTGTCATCTGTTGATTTTGCAGCTGCTGCCGATTGACAACGAGCAGAACTAGGACGATTTTGTTGACTAGGAGAGCTGCGGTTTGGTTTAAAATTTCTATCAAATAAAGGATGCAAATCAGGCACTTGATGAAAGCAAACCATCATATTTCGAATAGGTACTTGATGTGAACCAGCACTAACATGAATATAATTTAAATCACTCAAATCAAGCGTAGATTTTGGGAATTTATAGGATATTGTTTCATAATTATAAATACTATTTGGTCCAGCATGTGAAAGTGTTACTTGACCAGTGCTTTTCTCAAGTTTTAAACAATAATTAAGAAAATCATCTACATTACAATTACGATGAAATTTATTTGAATGTGCTACAAACAAACATTTATCCATAATAGATTTATGTTGAAATGGATCACCATAATTCAAATACGAAATTGATTCTTGATAATCACTTGATGTGGTTGATGGTATGTCAGCAACATAACACATGAGACATGGAATATATCGTCGACTTTGAACAGAACCGATTCGTTCATTCGATAATGTGATCATCACATCACCATACATCGCTTGAAAATAAATGTAGATTTCATTGGAAATTGGATCTTGCTTTTTATTTCGAAGATATTGGCCATAGATTTGCGATATTGTGAATGGTAATGCGACATACTCAATGAAACAACTCGGTGGTAAAGTGATACAAGTACCACGTAATTCTGATGCATAGCCAATGTTTTGAACAAACTTTTCATTCAATTTATCCATAACATATTGCTGATATTCAGTACGATTCTTTTCTAGTACACGTGATTCTCTACTAGGTGTAGAATTGAGATTAATTTCATGATTTGTTATATAGCATGAACAATGAAAAATTGATTTTGCTGACTTTTGAGCTGCTGGTGAAAGAGATGTAAAGAGATTTTTTGGTATGTAAATTTCTTCGATGTAATCCAAAGGAATTAAATCAGGCAAATGACCTTCGAACAATGAATCTGTGTCCACACTTGTCAAATAGTTTATGATTGATTTCGAATCAACATCTATTGTTTTCTTATGTTGACCTGCTGCAGCTATGAGTTCAGCTGCTGCTGAACTCTCATATCCAAGTATTGAACAATGTAATTTCGATTCCTGAAATTGCTTGATTCGCTCATTGGATGTACGCGAGTCTGTGACCCATGGTCGACGATTAAATGTAGTTCCATTTAAAAATGAAGCCTCTGATTGAATGGAAAAATTCGCATCCGGATGAAGCATTACTTGTCGTTTGAACACAAGCACAATATCTCCATAATCACGACGAAGTTGTGGACCAAGAATAGTATAAATATATTTGTCTTCATCACATATTTCGTCAGAGGTCTTTCGAATACTATTAGAATTGATCTCAAGGTTAAATGTTGCTTCAGTAATTTCCGTGGTATATCGACGAATGATATCGATATCCGTTGGATTTAGTTTATCTCGCAGAAATTTCTCTTCTTTACGGATAGTATTGTTAAAGTCTTCATCAGGTATTGGCATTGTTGATAGTTGAGAATAATTAGTTCTTGTATTCGTCACTGTTGGCTTAGTTTGAGGAGTTCGTTTACTATATACATTAGAGACAATAGCTTTAATGTAATCTTTTATATGATCTTCAAGTGATTGGTTTTTATATTGTGTGATTATTGACTCAATTTTTTTATTTCGTTGAATATTTTCAATTAAGAATTTTGGCATTTGTAACTCGTCAATACGTTTATGGGACATGACATGACCATGGATGAGTATTAACTCGAAAATCTCTTTTGAACATTGATAAACTGGTAGTAATCCTCTGATGTATTTTGAAATTGAATTTGAAATTGACAGTGGAGCTTTTGACGGCAAATTTTGAGCATAATCGAGAATGGTATCAAACATTATTCGTTGATTTTGAACAAAATTTATACGTTTATTAAGTCCACCATATTGAATAATACTACTACGATCGTAATTTCCAGAGTGTCGATATCGGATAATATGTTCGGGCTTTTGTAGGTCTGGACACTCGTAGGCTGAAGACATACATAGGCGACGAATATCAGGAATGCCTTCATGTGAAAATGAATTCAAATGATCTTCTTGATGAATTTTTAAACATTTTTTTCCATATCGACACATGTCACGTGCGATATGAATGGTTTTTTCCAAATGTAACTTCGATGTGTCATAACATTGACGACCAAATCGACATACGTGTAAAAAATCAGCACAATGATTTCGAGCATCGAGTGATACTGTTTGAATATTTGTCGCTTCCGATAGTAAAGTATGCTGTCGACAATGGAATGGCGTAAATGGACAAGTTTGCAAAACCGAATGATTATTTTTATTATAAACATCGTATTCAGTACTCATACTTTTATCATCGCCTGCAGATATATTTCTATTAAGCTTTAAATGTTCACGATTCATGTCCGCATATTGTCTATTATCACGATTGATTTTCGGATGTTCAAATTGATTTAAGTTCGTTGGATTCTCGTTCAATTGACATTTAGCACCACGTGAACATTTCATTAGATGTTTATACCAAAGCATATGATCATTATCGTCTTTTAGTTCACAATCTTTCGAATTAGCCATGTATGGACATATTGGTGGATGTAAATATTCACGGCAATGTTGCTTGTTTTCCAAGTCTCGACATCTACCTCCATAACGACATGGAGGTAAGTAATGAATTCGAATATCATTTAAAGTAATCTCTCGATTGTTTGTCTCATTCAAAATTCGCCAAGGTCCAATCATCATATCGACCATTTTCTGTCTTATGGGTTTGAATTCCAATGTATTGAATATTTCTTGAAAAGGTCGAAAATTTCCATGTGGATTAAATTCTTGACCAGCATTATGATCATCAATAATAGCAAAGTAGATTCTATTGAAAAATCCTGCATATTGTTCGATAACTGATTTGAATATAGCTGCAACGTGTTTTGGTGGATTTCGAAAAGCACCACAACCAAATGCAGAAAGAACAAGACAATCATGATTATGATGATGACCAATAGCAAAGATATTTTCAATTTTTTTGCGCATACCAATTGAATATTTCGAACTCAAGAAATTTTTATTATTCTTATCCAATTTTGGATCTCGATAAGCAGCTATAGCTATAGCACAAACATTTAACATAGGTTTATCCATAAGAGCATAGCCTATATTTTCAGGTTGACGAAAAACTGTCAGTCCTGATGTATAGATTGCTCCGAATTCATCCATTGGATACATTCGATCACGTCCAGTTAACGGTTTTTCTTCACAATTCGATGTACAATAAAAACGAGCAGTTGGTGTTCTATCATCAAGATCCATATCGAGACTTCGAAAGTAATTAGAACGACGAAAAATATTCTCTTCTTGTGCACCATCACCTCGGCGATAACCACCACCTGGCGAGTGTGCATTTGCCATATTGAGAAGTAATGGACGATATCCCTTAGACAATAAGTACTCGTAAACAATAAGACAATCTTCATTTACTACATGGACTGATGTGGTTGTGTATGGATAATCGATGGCAGAAGATGACTGTTTTGTCATACCATGTTGCAGTTTCGACTGATGATTATAGACAATTGTTTTCAATGGATCTGATTTCAACTTAATTTTTTTATCATCTACATGGTAACTTCCCTTTTTTAAAATACCAATTGTATTTAACATAACTGTCATTCGTAATAAATGTCGTTGTTCATTACTTATTGTTCCACTATGATCTCGTTCATGCGTAGTACCATTACTAGTCTTCAAAGTCCAACGATTGAATTGCTCTATAAATGCTTTTGGATTCCATTTGAATTGAAAAATTGGATGTTCAGGTTGAGCAATAAACTGCATAATATCAGATTTATAAACACACATTTCTGTTTCATACCAATTACGAGCATCAATTTCCAAATCTTCATAGTTATTCGCCAATGAATAGGTATCAATTTTTATATTATGATCATCGATATTTAAAAAACCTTGTTTGAGACACTTATCATAGATACTCTTGTTCCGTAGTTCCAGAATGATATCATCACCATATGGTATCGCCTTGGTACGGGTACCGGCAAAAATCTCCAAATTTTCGATACGTGAAACAGAAATTTTTCTGGGTACTGATCGAATTATAAGACGATAAATGATTTTGTCTATCTTCATAATAAATTGTCCATCTAAATTGATTGAACGAAATAATGCCCATCTTCGAGCTTTATCACATGTTATGACAATAGCGTTGGCTTCTGCTTTGTTATATTGAATGTAAATGGATTTGTTTGATATATTTCTCTCAGAAATTTGTTTACTAATAGCAGACTTTAAATTATCCTCACTAAATGTTCGTGATAAATATTCGAAAAAACAACAATCAGCTCGAAAGTAAACGATGGCTTTTTGTTTTCCAATCAAGAATTCAGTTATTAGTGTAGTATTGATAAGTTCATCACATGTATTTATAACTACTCGAAATATATTTGGAAATTCATCACATAAGTTCTTACATGTCAATGGACAGTTGCCATTGTAAACTTTCATCCATTGTTGACGTATATCATCGGCAACTGGAAGATATTTTATATCCTTAGGCTCAATAACCACGTAGGAGATTATCTCGAGTTCATCTACAAATGATATTGTTTCATTGGATTTTGAGTTGATTTTAATACTTTTGATGGTGTTAATTAAACGATATTTGTCTTCATTATTTCGTAGATAAACAATACCGACATCTAATTGTAAGCTACATTTTATATCGATTATTTGTAGTTGGTATTCGCGGCGTAAACAATCAGTGATCATGGACTCAAGTTCTTTATTATTAAAATCATTACACGGTAAAGCAGATACGTAGGCAAAAATTGGATAATCTCGATTTGAAGCTTTTGGTGTTGATCTTGGAGATAAATTTAATGTTTGTGATTGATCACGTGTTTGATCTTCATGCTTAATCGACTGTGTTTGTCGTATGACGGTTTTCTGTGATTGATGATAATCCTGATTAGATGATGATGATTGATCATCTGTTGGTGAAGACATTTGATCATATGGAGATCTTCGACGAATATCAGATGGACTAATAGTTGACTCTGTCTTAGTTTGCTTATGTTCTATCGGGTTTGGATGAGTAGAAATGGAGAGTCGATCCGAATCATTATTTTTCTTAGATGTAGATAAATCCGATGAAAAAACTTGCAACTCTGGTTTAGCTCTTGGTTGTATCTGTGGAGTAGATGGGGGTGTGTTTGGTGTAGTTGATCGATGACGGGCAGATGGATCATGCGATTTAGAAGCACGCACAATAGATTTTGACGCCGGCTGCAAGGACTGAATTTCTAAACTACTTGTTTCACTGAATGTTCGGCATGGAGGAATTTGATTGTCAGTCCGACTTGTTACAGACGTAGTAGTTTTCATTTCATCGCCTCCTTGATATTTTCGATCACCTGCATCTGAAATTGGTGATGTGTGTGTGTGTGAGTAAGAATGTAGTTTTCAAAAGTTTAAAATTTCATAGATGAGATATGTTTCAAAACAGTAGTAAGTTTAATGGTCTATCCTATGGACCATGGAAAGACACTTTGATATATCTATCATAATACATTAGTTACTTTAACATTTTGGAGTTCTATTCCTCTCATAGAAATCTTGTTAAGAGGTTTTTTTATGCTATAGGCAAGTGATAAGAATTTGCATTACTGTCAAGATATATCATCAGATTCTCTACATAATACTGAAGTTTAAAAATTACTAGATTTTTTGAATTACTTCTATAGTTTAATAATAGAATAATTTTGTCAGTCAAAGTCGATTTACTTTTCCAATTTTGAAAATGAATTATCTGCTCTGAAAATTAAAACATTTATGAACATATGCAAAGTAAATATTTTTCTGTAAGAATTTGTTTTTTGAATCTTTGACTGAAAAGAGCCTAGAATTTCCTTCCTAAATTTTATTCAATAGCTTGAAAAAACAATTGATGCTAAACCTTTAAAAATATTGAAGTTTTTATCATTTTTCTTCAACGAAAATGAGCAAATATTATCAGACTTCAGAAAATTTCATGTTCTCATGGTTACATCTACCTACATAGTTTCTAACTTAATTAATCAGATAACTATTTCTAATCTATTCGATATAGAAATTATGATTATTATGCACTTTTCTAATCCCGTTAATATAGAAAAAAAATTTAATAAAATCATATTATTTCAAAGTAAGTGAAGATTGTTTTCTAGAGACAAATGAGGTTCGAAAAGATAATTTTAAATTTAAAAATTAATCATTGAAATCTTTAACAATCTGAACCTTACGAATTAAAAACAAAGGAAATTCATTCACTTTTTTTTTATAACGATTATATGACAACGAAAAATTTTGTCGATGTTTTTTACCTGTTCCGTTCTTCTTTGAAGAATCATTGGAGAAATTTGCTGGTGATACATGTGACGAAGGCGTTGATCTATTCGATTTCTCTAATGATGGTTCGCTACTTGCAATTGAATGTCTTAAATTTGTTGGTCTTTGAGATAAAGGATCAGAATTGAATAATGTACGATTATTTTCATCAGATGAACCTAAAGGCGATGATTGTTGATCCCGTTTTGATGAAGACATCGACGAATTTCTAACATCGGTTTCACACAAAGGCCGAGGTAATGAAGATTGTCTATCGAATGAATCAAACCTATAAACTTAAGATAGAATATGTGAAACTGACCGATTCAAACTGGATTCTGATAAAGACGAGCGACTGAGCATATTATCTGGTGTGGCATTTGTTTGAGAGTCACTTGAAGAATCTTCACGATGCGTCAGCGATCCTTTGTGAGTCGTAGATGTTTTATCAACATTTTTATTCTTTTCAATTGATGAATCAGACGAAGTTGGCTTTCTTGATCGCTCTAAAATTCAATTTTCAATAATGAAAATGTATAATTTATATCTTTCATAACTATATCTTCTACAAGCAATCCTTTTTTTCAAGAGAAAAAATTTACACTGTCAACGAGAGTCTTTTCGCTTCGTCCACACTGAACGGCAAATAGATATCTGACAATAGGATTTTATGATAAAATTTTTAAGCTGCATATTTGTTTTGTTTTTGCATCCTATGATCTTAACATTATAGAGGGTCGATGACAGTTCTCATGAATAGTATTTCGTTATAAAAAGTATAGATACTTTGGAATAAAACGATCCAAACTTATAATTAGATATGAGATATATTCATATTTAGAATGCATCTCATACTTAAAAATTTAAAGGAAGATACTAATATGTTCTTTTTAGAAATTTTTCAACATGATTTTCTCAGATGATAATAGAAAGTAGCAACGGCAAACTTGAAATTGTTGCTTGGTCTTTTATTTGATGTTTGTCGGTCTCATAGAAACTCTCTCAATTCAACACTTTTACCGATTGATAAATGCTACGAATGAGATCAGACCTTAATCTCTAAATAAGGCCTTCAAAAATAAAAGAATACCAGTATTTGATTCCGTACCATCCTTGCTATTGACAAGTTCTTGATTGTCACGCACCTCTTCTCCATCATGTTTCTTGTCATCATTGTCAGAGTTTTGTGCCACTGCCTGACTCTTAAAATAAGAAGCAAATACTTCTATCAAAATTTTGTCTGCTTTTAGAAGATGACTTATGAATATTTATAGTCCTGAACATTTTTTATTGTTTTCGATATTTTGAAAAAAATTCAATATAAAACTCTTCAAATTTCTCAGATAAAAATTTTAATTTTCTGAGCACACACAGCGCTGAAGATTGTTGTTTGATTACAACCGTGTGCGCATGTATTTGTTGACTTAACAGTAAATGCTCCGATATTATTGTACTCACCTCGTCGCTTTCATCTTGGTTTTGTTGCGAAGCTTTACCATCGTGTTTAGACATTTGTATAACGTTATATTGAAATTCTTAGTTTGTTGTATTTTTCTAAAAACATTATCGAATTCAGAATTTTAACAAATGATTGGCAAAGTTTCTACTACAGACTGTAAAACTTGTAACAAGCTTATTTCAAAAAATAAAATAATATGCAAAAAAAAACCAACATTTATGGGCAGCAAGAATGAAAAAAAAATGAGATTGTCAGCAAACTTCACCGAAGAGAAAGTAGAGTCAATAGACATAAGAAAAAGAAAAATATTGTTAAAATGTGACATAGAAGAACAAGAAGAATTACGCACACTGGAGAATAAATTCAAGTAGCTTGGTCTGATTGTTGTGTTGTGAAAAAACCAAATAGCTTTTTATTGAGTTTCTTCTACTTCCTATGCAGCCCAGAAATTTCAAATGACTATTCAGCCAATTCGAGAACTGATGTGACGTGTGGATGTAGAAGTTTAGGAAAGCGACAACGATCATGTTCATAAAATGTATTTTGGAGCATATTAGAGATCGTATCGATTCGTTTTTGGACTTTTTCTAAGAAGAAAAAGACGAAGGTTTTCAGTGCTTCTTCTAAATTTGCTACGAGCTCTAAACCATGTATAGCATCCCTTTGAAATAGATGCCATGGAAAGATAAATCGTTTGCTAGGTTTTGGAAATACTTGTGAAGAACATAGAAACGTGTAAATTTCTTGGCCCTTTCTGATTTGTGACCATTTTATTTATTTCTTTTTTGAATTGTTTAATTATTTTTGTCAATCTATCGAATGATTTCGAGCGCTTAAAATTCATCATAAAGATCGATTGAATCAATATTTGTCATTCTTTAGATTAAAACTTGATTTTTGGATGATGACTTTTGCACTTCTGCAACTTCTTTTATGTCTATTTTGAAACAGATTAAGTTGACTCGTATTTTTTCCACAATGTCTTTATAGACAGAATAATTATGGCTGTATTTTTTTTCTTGCTGAAGTCTCCATCGACAAGAAGAACAACAAAAATAAGGTTTGACAATGACATAGTGTTGTATTGACAAATGTTTATCAAACTTATGCATCTATCTGTGGTTAGAAGATACAATTAAATACAAAAAGAAACAATAATTCCAAACACTATAGTAAATCAAATCATCTTTAAAAAGATGCTATAAATCTAATGGATGCCCTTTCTCACATTTTAAACTTCCAATGAGTCTCCGTTGACAAGCTGTTTTTCCTAAATCTTCTTTCTCATACCACATAAACGTGTATGATCGCCGCCGCCATTCAGAAGATCTAATACTTACTCTTAATATTTTTTATTTTCATAAAATAACAATACGAAAAGCAATAGAGCATCGTTGCATTCATGACACAAGTTTGTGTCCAGATCTGTCTGAGTGCTGATTACAGAACATTACTCTTGCTACCTTGAACATACACCTAGCTCGTATGGGAAAAGTAATGCAAAACAAATTTATTCAGAGTTTTCAATAGAAATCTGAAATAATCTATAAGTAAGGTAATTTGCTTCCATTCGCAAAATATGTTTTTATGCTTTGCTCTAAATATCCAAATACTTCATAGTTATTATTATTCGTATATATACGTTACTGTGCGAAAGACAATATCAAAAACCAACATGTAGATAATGAAAAATAAAAGATGCACATATTCATCTAATTGAATTTAAGAATTAATTTTTACTCTTATATCGATACAGACAAGATGATCTCAATCCTGTTAAGACCATCACTTTTCATTATGAGTGATATCCTTTATGGTCATTTAAGACTTGCATTAAATGTCATATTCTTGCTTATTAATAATCACAAGATCATGAATCTCATCGTGATTGAAAAAGAACTGAAGAAGTATATTTACAATCAGGGGCGTAAATAGAGTGGGACGCGTCGCCCCCTCTGCTTTTGAAAATTTGGTTTTTTCTTGGTCAAAAAGATCGAAAAAACTGGGTATTTTAGTGCAGAATCCATACGAACGAAGACGTTACGCCCCTCCTCCCCCTGCCTTAGAGACGAAGTTACGCCCCTGTTTACAATATAATAAAAAAGAGAAATTTTTTAGTATTGGAAACACTAAACTTATCCATTGATAATATATATATATGACTGAGTAACATTTTTTTACGAGACTTTATTAACACACAAATGCATTTTGAGCGAGGTTGTTTGATGATTCGCATCATATTTTGATTTGATATTAACAATCAACCAATCGAAATTTATACATACCTATCTGTTTATTTATTCTTTATTTTCATTGATTTTTTTGAAAATTATTCATTTTATTTTCGTTTTTTTAAGATTATTTTCTGTTTAATATACAGAAAAACAAAAAAATAGTTAATCAAAATGGTTCAACGATTAACTTATCGTCGTCGTTTATCATATAACACCAAATCGAATCGGGTTAAAGTGTATGTTATAATTCTATTTTATTTTTATCATCATAAAAACCAAAAATAATCTATTTTATTTTTAGTGTTAAGACACCCGGAGGTAAATTAACATTTCAATATGTTAAAAAACGAGGAGCAGTACCAAAATGTGGTGATTGTAAAGTTGAATTACCAGGAGTAAGTTTTATTTTATTATTGAATTCATTCAAATTAGTATTTTTTATTTTAGATTAAGGCATCTCGTCCAAAACAACGTATGACAATGACTAAACGATTGAAGACAGTATCACGTACTTATGGAGGTTCACGATGTGCTAAATGTGTTCGACTTCGGTAATCAAAAAACAAAATTATGAACAAAAAAAATATGTTTTTTGTTTGATTGTTTAGTATCGTTCGAGCTTTTCTTATAGAAGAACAACGTATAGTTGCTATGGTTATGAAATCAAAGAAAATAACTGCACCAACAGAAACAACAGTACAACCACAAACAACTGGTCAAAAATCGAAATAAAAAAAAAAAAGTTGTTTTTTTTCTTTTCGATTGACTATTTATATTTGTTTTTTTTGTTTCTTTTTCGATTTGTCTCTCATACGTTACCAACTTGATATTTTGAGAGATTTAAGAAAGAATAAAAAGAAAAAAAAATAAACGAACATATGAAATATTTTACAAAAATAATAATTTCATGATATGACATAAAAAAAACAAAGGCTTAAGATGAATTTCACTAAAAAAAAATTTATATTAGTTGTCTAAAAGTAAGAGAACACAGAATTTTTTTCGATTTTCATAAGTAAAATGTATCTCATTTGATTATATTTTCTACTGATTGAGCTCAAAAGATGTTATAATTAGAAAACTATGGAAATCAAAAAACAACCATCGAATTTCTATAACATTTTTTTTTTGTTCCCAAGTATATATAGATTAAAAAAATGATGTCCGCGCGCAACTGTTTGGATCCCGTTCTCTAGACGAGAAGATCTTTTTTTACATAGTTATATGAAAGAAATCAACAGCTTTTGTATTTTATACAAACACTTATGAAAAATCTGTTGTTTCTATATTAAAATATATTAATGAGAAAATTAAACTCTTTAACAAGATATATTTCACTTTCATGTCTTAGCAAGTAATGTGATTAATCACGTTATTCTTGATTAGTTGTCGAAAAGTAATATGTGGATCTATGTCAGATCGGACATTTGATCTACTTAACACGTACTTAATCATTCTTGGAAAAGAAGAACTGTAATGTAAATGTAAAATATTATTGAAATAGTATGATTAACATATACTAGTCT